AGTAAGTGAGCGAGCGAGGCCAGCTCCGCCCGTGACTCACCGCGCTCTCTGCCTTCATCCTCTCCCCTGCGCTCCTTTTTCCTCCGAACCTGCGGCCCCGCCCACCTCACCTGCGGCCGCCTTTAACCCTTGCTGGCTCGGCTGGGGGGGAGGCCCTCCCCCACGCGAGGAGGGGGCGGGCGAGAAGGGTGGCTAACCAGGCCATTTCCCTCCCTCTCCCTCCTCCTAGGTCCTCACCACTCCCTGAGTTGGGAGTTTTTCTCATGTTCAGAGACCCGTCCAATCCCGTGGAAATCTAGCTTGGAGCTGGTTCGGCCCGGCGGGGGACGCGGCTCAGACCCAGGATGGGACCAAGGACCGAGGGTCCTGGGAATGCTATTGAGCCTTCCTTACGGCGCGCGTGGCTAAAAGTGCTTTTGACTCACGCGTCCTGGCCTCGCAGTGCTAGAAATGAGTGGAAAGGAGACTTGAAGACTAAGTTTCTGTCCGGCCCACCCCCAGGCCTAGGCCACGAGAAGTGCATTTTGGTTATATCGCCGCCCTCCTTCCACCACCACCACGCGCCGAACTTTCCCCTACCGCTTTCCTGCGATCTTCCCCCTCTATCTGGCCACTGGACTTTCTGGGTGATCAACACCCCCTCAATGTCTTCTCCAGTCTCACGGGTCCCCAGATCCTCTCAGTGTATTCTCTCCACCTTCCCTTAGGCGGCAAGCCTGGCGCCATCGAAGTCCACCTCCCTCCCGGTCCGGGTTGTTCAGCCTGTACGCGGGGTTGCTGCCCTACGCTTGGATGTGAGGGCTGGGCAGACACCTGAATGTCCCTGGGAAGAAACATGTCAGCAACGGATTGAGCGAGCCTTTGGCACGGGCTCTTACCAGGTCTCAGCTGAATATCTAAGTTTAGATAAATGTCTTGGGTGCCTTGGAGGAAATAAAAGCACGTATGCAAAGCCACATTCTGGTACATTTTCAGGGCATACACGGCGCCACTCACCTAAACAAAACTCTCCATATCCGAACTGGAGGAAATCCTGGGATCCCTACCTCGAACCCAGGTGGGTACCAGAGTCCCCCCAACTCGCTGCCCTAATGGCTTGACTAGAAGTAGCGTGTCTTCCCCGCCGCCTCCCAAGACCGCGCATTGACCTCCCTAGGTGACCCTTTCGACACGGAATTTCTGAGCGATTTTCGTTGTTTCTTCCCTTATCGCGGCTGGCTTTCCCTAAGCACTCTTCACAATCAATTTCCGAGAGTTCTGTAATTTAGATTGATTTAATCTCGCCACTACAGACTCCTCTTTCTCTCTTTTTCTGTCTTTGCTTTTTGAAGCCAGGTCTCACTCAGCTCAGGCTGGCTGGGAAATCACTCGGTTGATTATACCGGCCTCGACTATGCAGCAATCTTCCTGCCTCAACCTCTCAACAGGTGTGAACCTCCATGCCCGGTTTTCAGTCCTCATTTCTCTCGGGTTAGTTTCCCTGCCCTTTTGAGACACACTTAACTGAATCCGTCAGCCTTCTGAATTACACGTTTAACTTCTCCAAGCGCGCACGTGTCCCTAGCGGTCAGCGCTTTAGCTATTTGAGCGAGCACCTTTGTATTTTCTAAAACTGGAGTCCTTCTCCTGGACAACCCGGGTACAAGCTGAGAGGGCTTAAGCAGCTCGTACCTAAAAGAGTAAATTCCGCTAGAAACAAAATAAACCCTTAATAATTTTAAAATAAATTTGTTCCCACAAGCACGTACAGATTAAACTCCATTCAGAAAGATCTTTGGACTAGAGGTTCACAAACCTAAAATCTGGCCTCAGCGCTACATCTTTTACACTGGCCCTCAAGGATTAGGTTATTCTGTGCCTCCATTTCCTCAGCAGACCTGGAGGATTGAAGGATGGGTGGGCATTTAGAACGGAAGACATGTCAGGGAGAGACTGGGGATCAGCCCAGGACCCAGTGTTCTTCCCTCTTTGCCCTTAGGACTGACTACATAGCATAAATTCTTAAGAATCCCTTTGGCTTTTTGTGTCCAAATTCACACTTTTTATCAACATGGTTTGTCCACTCAGTCAACCTCCCAATTCTAACTAGTGGGGTTTGCATCCACTCATAGTTACCTCCAAAGCAGAGTTAGGGGTTCACAATGTGGGGAGTGTGGAGAGCAGAGCCTGACTTGGCTGAATATCGCTCCTGGAGCAAGACTGATCAGACCCCCCCCCCCCCAGGAGTGGTTCTCAACCGGAGGGTATTAGATATCCAGAATATCAGATGTTTACTCTGTGACTCATAACAGTAGCAAAATTACAGTTACAAAGTAACAATGAAAGGACTTTATGGTTAGGGTCACCACAGCATGAGGAACTGTATTAAAGG